TGTAAAGAACAGAAAAGCATAGAACAGAACGTATTAATGTATATTGAGTCATGAAATATCGATGACGACAAAATGACTCATAAAAACATAAGGAAACAATGCCAACGTATTGAAATTTACGTGTCCAAGAAAGACATGTAATTGCAAAACATTAAAAATAAAGACACATCAGTATTCACACATGGTGTTTTGATATAAATATAAAAAATTCTTTTTCAAGTATATATATATACTTTAAATAGTGTTGTTCTTAAAGAACAGAATAATTTATTGATCTTAATCTATCCATATTAATCAGATATAAAAATTACATTGTATTACTGTAAATGATGTGGGTGACTGTAAAAACAGATTACTCAGACGCACACGCACATACTTCTTGTTTTTTGTATTTCTGCAATTAGAAAATGAAACAAATAACACATGTTGGTAGAATCTACTCATTGAGGATGTGCATGGGTGCTAGGCGAGTACAGTATTCATATCCACATTCATACCCCCTTCTACTTTTTGAGTAATAAAAAGGTTTTTTTAATGATATCTTGTATAGATGTCACAGATTTTTCGATTCTTTGCCTTCACTTAGCGTAATTTGATATCCTTGGAAATGATGATCCCGATTTTTTTCAATTTCGTGGAAGAATGTTCATACGTATGTTTACGCAAGATGAAATGAAAACGAAAGTAATGAGAAAATCTTCAGTTCATTATCATTAGTTGTAATTTTATTCCAAACAATAGACTTGATTGTTGATCTAGGAATTCTCAAATCAATCGGACTTAGAGTCCTGCACGGGTGCACTTTTTTGTACCCGAAACCGAACCGGCGATTTTGTTTACCCCCGGGCCCGAACCGACCCGGTTAGTTAACCACCCGGAACCGAACCGGACCGAATAAGCTGGCCCGGACCCGACCCGACCCGGTGTACTCAGTTATTTTCCAAAATATGATCAAATTTCTAAACTTTTATTTCATTCAATAAATATAATACGTTTATTTTTCGTTCATAAGTAAGGGTAGGACAGTTCATAGTTCCAAGTTCAGATGAACTGGTCAAAAGAACTATTATACAGTTCCTAAGAACGTAACTAATATGGAA